TGCTGTGACGCCGTCTTTCTCTATGCTTGTTTGAATGTTGTTTGGAGAAGATTCTTTTAAAGCGGTGTGGAGGTGCATTGACAGTGGAGCCACCCCGAAAGGACGATAAACATATGTGGACGCGCAAAAGTATGCTAGCACGCTTGAGGTGTGAAAAGGACACCAAATGTAGACAGCTTTTTTTTTGAAGACGGGAGTCAAAAGGCTGGGACGAAAGACAAATGCAGATTCCGCCACTGCCAAAGCGAGAGTTATTGAGTGTAACTCAGCCTGGCACAGCTCAACTGGCTTGGTTTCACATCATGGAGTAAGCTGAATATTGCCCTAGGAGGGAGGCACTTGGCAGTGCCCACGAATGCTGCCTTCTCCTGACTTTTAAAAAATCTTCCTAGTAGGCTGCAGTGTGTCGAGAATTCACGGGAATGCACACTAAGCTGCCTTGGCCTTCGACTGGCAGGGGCTCTCTTGCACATCACCCACTTCTAAGTAATCCTTAAAACTGGAGAGGCTGGAGATTGAGCCTGGGACCCTCTGTGTGCAAAGCAGATGCTCTCCCGCTGAGCCGCAGCTCTATCCCTGTGTGACTGTTTTGCAGCTTGGGCTCAAGCCGTGAGGCATAAGATGTAACTTCTTCCCAGCCCAGCAACGTGAACTCTTTTAACTGGAGATACTGGAAACTGAACCTGTCGGCTTCAGGGATGCTCAGTACATTCTCACTGACCTAGGGCTCCTCCCATAATAACTGCCAGAGCTTAAGCCTGCTTGGAAAGAAAAATTAAATACCATAAACACAGCAAGCTGCCTCTTTGTTTATACCACAAGTCACAAGAAAGCGAATGGTTACACAATGAACTGCCTATTGTTAAAGTGTTTGCTGCTTGTGTAGATAAGAAGTTTTGATGTCCCTGGGCCACGGCAAAGGACCTTTGTGGTAACGTCCCCATGCAACTTGGCGACCAGGGGTTTATTTTCCTGCTGCTCTGTCCCCATTTCCAGAAGAAAAAGCTTCAGATGTTCAGTGGTGGTGGTGGTGGTGGTGGAAAGGGCCGTCAACTGCTTCGTGGCAGCTGACTCAGGGTGACCCTGTAAGGTTTGCAAGGCAAGAGACGTTCAGAGGTGGTTTGCCATTGCCTGCCTCTGCATAGCAACCCTGGGCTTCCTTGGGGGTCTCCCATCCGAGCCCTAACGAGGGCCGACCCTGCTTAGCTTCCGAGACCTGGTGAGTACGGGCTAGTCTGGGCCACCCAAGTCAGGGCCGGCGCCTTGTCGATAAAGCCGTTCAACAAGTGACAGAGGACTTCATCCACATCCTCTCTCTTTACATAGGATATTTCTAAAACTGGCGACACCAAATAGCTGACTGCTCAGGGCGGAGAGGTCAGAGGGCTAAACCTCTTCTCGTAGGCGATACAGAAAAAGATGGTAAACAATATTGGCAGCTGGGTTAAGTCTTAGCCAGTGTTATGAGGGTGCTTGAGCATGGCCAAATCAGCCTGCACCAAAATCTCTCCTAAAACTTCCCTTTGGGTATCGCATCACTTTAAGTAAGCCTGAAAGAAATTCAGGAGGCTGTATGGGCGGTTGGGTTCTTTGCAGCCAACTGCCGTCTTTCAAGTGGCAAGCGGAGGTCCGCTCCCATCGAGAAAATGTTAATCGCTTAATTAAAAGACACAGAAATACGTTATGGGCAACGTGCCCGGTTCTAAGCAAAAACACAGCAGAAGCATTTGCGGGGCGTGCTGGAAGTTTACAAAATGTCACTTTGTGCTTTCCAGTTCCATAGTGCAGTGATGGCCCCAGATTTCAGTTAGGAACTGACCCACTGGATCAGACCTGGGTTTCCCCTAGCCAAGCAGCGTCCTGTTCCCAATGGTGACTAGGCATGTTAAAGTTACATCCCTAGCAGCGGAATCCTTTCCTGCTAACTGCAGAAGCATCGAAGCTGGCTAACACACCGTGATGAGGGAACATCACTTTGCATATGCTCAGACACTCACCCCACTTATTCAGCATGAACCCTGACACTGGAAAAAAGATGTGTTAAGCCACGAATAAAGCATCTGGGCAGTTCCTATGCCCAACGTATTAGTCCAGCTGGGAGATGCAGATAGTTCAGTCTTAGCAAGCCAGAGAGAGACACCTTTTCGTTGGTTTAGACTGCCTGCTTGGTTTGTGCCCCTGTTATCTGTGCTGCCTCCACACACAACAAACATAATCCCACTGAACTCGGCAAGGCGCCCTTTAGAGCAAATAGGCCCAGAACTGGACAGTAATCGGCCCAGTCCTGAAATCAGGTGTGCAAGAGTGGCAGGTAGCTCACTAAGGAGGCTGCTGGTTTACACTTTTGATTAAGCCTGGCAAATAAGAGGTCTTAGATACAATGTAACCTAACGGAAAACAGGTACTTCAAGTCAGGCCGATGCAGTAATTTTGGGTCACATTAACTGAACCCATTCACTGAACTGAGCCCTCATGCTAAAGACAACCAGTGGAAACGTTTCCTGGATTCCTAGTCTAAGGGTGCCACCTTGTGGAGGTCACGGTGTATGTAGAGACGGGCACGAGCTCATAGCTCGGGTTGACAAGCACAGACAGGGCCAGTCCGAGGATCGCAATTTTCACAGAGCAACTCCATCCCAGCACACGAAGAGGCACCTGTGTACTGGTGCTGCCTGCGACGATGCCCTGCTGTTCCAGCAGAAAATCTCACACAGCGATACTCCTACGTCAGAGAATCAGAAGACGCAAGTAATGGAGGTCCCAAAGATGG